ACCAAATCATCTGCATTAGCAAACAGAGAAAAAAATACGGGTTGAAGATTTTTGTACCTCATTTGATAAGGTTTCATGTGTTGTTTTGCTATTTTTATAGTGCTGTCCAGCACAAACTTAAATAGCAAAGGACTTAAACTAAATCCTTGCCTGATACCTTGTTGTGAACTCATTTGATGAATTATTGCTTGTTCTTACATTTCTTTGACATTTATACAGACTTAGAATTGCCTTATGAAGACCAGTTTCATTTTCTTCTAGGGCTTTTGGTATGCCTTATTTTTTAACCTGGTCAAATGCCTTGGTCAGATCCACAAAACAAGCTTATATTTCTTTATCTCTTTCTATTAATTCCTTAAAAATTTGTCTCAGTGCAAATATGAGATCCTACTGTTCTTCACTCAGGGAGAGTTCTACTGTTCTTCACTGTCTTCTTTCTAATATCTTCGAGCATATTTTGCTCGGGACGCCAAGAAGAGATATGCCCTGAGGGTTTCTGCAATCTCTATTATCCCCTTTCTTAAATATTGAGACTATAATCGAAACTTCCAAGTCCTTTGGGATGTTTTTTTTTTTTTTCTATATTGAGATTTCGTAGGTGCTAGAAAACATTTGTTCCCTTTTTGCACATGTACTTGATCATTTCAGGGGCTAAACCATCTTGCTCTTTCTATTTTCAGAGAAGAGATAGTATCCACAATTTCTTCTTCGCTGATATAATCTTCTTTTTTCTCGATCGTATTGGAATGTTCATCTTCATCGTTTTCACATTCGGTATTTTCATTTTCATTCAGGAATTCCTTGAAATATTCAGTCCATCTATGATTCCTTCATTGCTTGTGATATTCTCTTCTTTATCTTTGATTTGCTTCAGTGCAGGTTCTTTCTCTTTCTCATGTTTCATTACTCTCTGTTTTTTGTTGTCTTCCAGTTCTCTTCTAATGATTTCCTTTTGACTTCCATAAACTTATTTTTCACTATTTATCTTTGAGTTACATATTTTTCATAATCATTAGGGGAGTTCGTTTTTAGGAATTGTTTTCAATATATCTTCTTCCGGCTGACTTCCTCTTTGACCTCATCATTTCACCATGCGGTTCTCTTAAGTATCTGTACTTATTTTATAATATAACCACATGCTATTTCTGCTTAGTTCATAAAAATTTTCTTGAAAGCTGACTAGGCTGTCTTAACATTGAAAAATATTTAACATTATTTATTATGAAGAATGCGGTGAACTTTGTAAAAAACTGTGGAAAAACTTTGTATAAATATTTAAAAAAAAATGTAATATGTTCTTTTTATAGTTACATCTATATTTTATTTTTATTTTTTAACTTAACATAACAAATTTTTACGACTGTTTCGAGTCATTAGCCAAAATTCCATTGGATTTTTCAGTTTCTAGTGATTTTACTATTTTAAAACAGGCTTAGGTGGAAGAGAATAGCAAGGAGATTGACAAATCACAGTAAATTGAGGTAAGCGTAGCAAAAAGATTGTAAAAAAAAAAAATTCCTAAAACAACTATAGAAAATACGTTAGGATAAAGAAATATTCAACATCAGATTTTTTTATCTTGTAAATTTTGAATACTCTCCATGCACCAACAATTTAGAAATAGAGCAACAAAAAAGAAAGATATCGCAGCACCTTCGAGAAATAAATATAGAATCAGTTTTAATAATGAAAAATGGATATATAATGCAATAAAAGGCAATGGAAATGCAGACAATAATGTAACAGGCAGGCATGCTACATGAGCACAGCAATGAAAATAGACTAATACTAATACAGTTTGCATTGAGAAATAATTGGTTCATATAAAGCAAATCATTCTTGCAATGTGAATCTATAAGGGAATGTGGAGGATACCTTGATCTGATGATGCAACCTAGATAAACCATGTACAGTTCTCATGAAGGCATTCTTCAAACGTAAATGATGTTTCAAGATGTTCATGATTGATAGTAACAGGAATCATAACCTATTGAAATTTAATATTAGACAATACTCCTTTAAATCTGCCAGTAACACTGGGAAAGATTTTTTTAACAAGAAGTTAACCAGAAATTGAAACGAAATACAGCAGCAGAAGACATAGATGACACTTAAATGATTATTAGAACTGGTATGGATGATGGGCCACAAACAGGAAGTAACTTAAAACTTATTGGCTACTAATTAAACATTCTTTAATAAATATCAGAACCTTTGAACAGTGTAGTGTAAATCTGAAGGCCTTCAAATAAAATTGATAAAACAATTGAACAAATAGACATAATTAGCAAATAATTTTAGAGTAATAGAAAACTAAAATATGTTAGTATAGATGAGGCTCAACTAGTGCAATAAAATAAAAGAATATACAAAACAAAATAAGTATAATAAACAATTTACATATTGAAGAAACGATTGAATTGAGCACCAGACAATGGGAAAACACGTAACAAGAAATAATGTAAATAACAAGTTTACAATGAATGTGTTCTAGGATATAAGTATAAATAAACTATAATAAAAGTTAAAGTTTAATTTAAAACTTTTATTTGAAGAGGAATGATTTTTAATTAAACAGAAGAAAAATTTAACAAACTTTTAATTTTTTTCCTCAAACTGCTGTAAAGTAATTTTTGATATTTAATTACATATTTGCATGAAATATGAAGTATTTTGAATAGAAATAGTGAAAATATTGACAGAGTGAGGAAAAACATTGATTATTATAGGTATTATTATTATAGATCCCGGAATTCATTACTAAAAATTGCATAACAATAGTTAAATTACTTATAATACTACAAATTATGAGTGAGTAATTTTGGATTCCTACAATAGTAATTAAATTGAAGTTCATTTAAATGAACTTCTTCAGAAACAATCCTGATAGATTCTTGATAAGTTATGTTCCATAACACTATTTACATATAATAGCTAATCATAAAACTGTAAATAATAATGAATAAAATAAAATGTTGGGTAACTTTAGTTGCTAAACAGTTCTGTAATATGGATGGTGCTGACAGTAAATGCTCAGCACTCAGTAAGATTGTGTCAGACAAAGAGGAGTCCTGTTCTTTGAGAAGTCAGTAAATAAATTTAATTTAATTTAATTAATCACCAATTTTAACCAAAAATCATTTCAGATATAATATGAGAACAAGAACACGAACACTGTTCCAATCTTTTATGTTTTTTAAATATAAAAAGTAAGGAAAAATGTACAGAATGATACGATAATAGTTGCATAACAATTAGAAAGTATGTAACATATATGAATTGTTAATGGTATTGATTAATGATGTGTTGTAGCTAATACTAATATGATTTTTTTCTCATATAGCGAATATATTGTTTTACCATTCTTTATTTGTCGTGTATGTATTTTTGATGTATTACTGTTTTTTAAATCATTCAATTAAAAAGGTCTAATGGCCAGAAATAATCTATATTTTTCTGTTTACTTTTACAGATTTACAACCAAAGCTGCAAAGATATAAGCAATGCTTCATTTAGAAGATAACTTGAAAGAAACAATTAGATCTTTGATGAAACATTTCTTCGAACTGTCAGTGGTTCTTGATTTTAACCAAGTTTTTTGGGTGATTCTAAATCCTAAAATATTTGTTTGATGGAACCGAGAAATAAAATATAAAAGATTAAAAAATTCAATATTATAACATGGTCCAACTTTTCTCACGGAAACAGATATCTTGGCAATTCTAAAAGAAATAACCAAAACCAATTCTAAAAGCAACAATCAAAATTCTTAGATGAGAGGAGCTGGAGCTTAAGACTATGCTTGAAAATCGACAACCGAAGTGATTTGGTCACATTTGTCGGTTGGATGATGAAAGAGAACCTCGAAAAGCAGTGGAAGCTTGACACACAAGGAGGAGACCGCGAGGTCATCCCAGAATTTCCTAACAAGAGTACATACAGTGGATTGGAGGGAAGAGAGGGAAAATTCCAAGAGATGAAGCAGCTTGGCCGGGACCGAGAGGCATGGCTGCGTTGGATCGAGGCTCCTTGATGCTAGGAATGGCATCAGAGGTGAACAAAGAAGAAAAGAAGAGTCTCAATTCTCGATCCCTCGATACCATCTCTTATTTTCCTTTAGTTCATGATAAATTTTTTTCACTGTTTATATTTAACCATTTAGAGTGTAATAGTTATTTTCTTAAAACAAATAAAATTAAAGTTACTTTAGAGGAAGAAAATTTGAAAAATCAACATTTACATTATTAAACTTAAATAAGACATTATGTTGAAGAACATCAATGAGCATAAAACCTTCCTTATATTAAAAAAACACTTAATTGTACCTAAGTATAACGAGTTTAATCAAAATCGTTTGAACGATTTTTGAGATAATCGTAAAAATCTATTAAATTGATGATATACAGTAGCAATTCCAGTTTGCCAATTTTAATAAAAAAGTTGCTGTAACATCCCAGGCATAAGCAAATGTTATATATGAAATTTTAGTTTAGTACGGTATTTTGTCAGTTAAGACTGTTCACACACAGAGATTATTTTGCTAGACTTAGTTATTTAGACTCAGGGGACCTGAAAACCTTAAACGCATTTCTCAAACATTGAAAACTAAGATTAAAAAATTTTCACAATCGCAAGACTTTCCTCCCTTACTATACATTTCATTTAGTGAAAGTAAAAAAAATATATTATTTATAAACTTACAATGCATTTTTTTAACTATTATGCAGTAAGTATTATTTAATGCATAGTAGTTTAAAAAATGCATCACTGGTAAACACAAATATATCAATAAATATAAATAATAAAGTAAATAATTAATATGGTCGGAAGTTAGTTGGAGGCTGCAATCACAGAGAAAAATAAAAATAAATTATTATTTACTTTTATATTTTTATTTTTCACTGTGACTGCAATCCTAACTTACTTCCCAATCACATTATTTACAGTAAACTATTTCTGCACCATTATAAAAAAATAATAAATAAAAACATGCAGATTACCTGTCTTCTGCAGTGATTTCAGTATGAGTTAACCATGCAACTGAACAGGGAACAAATCCGGTTTCATTAATTAGTGGTGAATTGATTTGGGTTATGTCATGTTTCAACCACTTAGAATATTCTGAATTTTCTTTGTTATTCATTCCCAACAATGACAAAATAGGAACTAGATACAATGAACCGTCATAACCTGAAATATTGATTCAAATCGAATATTACAAAGAAAATGTGGAGTTAAAAATTATATTTTTGGTATAAGTAATGAAAATCACATTAATAATAATATAGTAGATTGAAATAACCAATTGGAATAGCTAGCCCACCACCGCACAGTGGTGCAAAACACCTTATTTTCAGAAAAAAATAGGAGTCATTTTATATTTATTTTCTTATCCTGAATCAAATGAAACAAAAAGTAAATCGATATCTTTACATTTTTTTCATTATTATGAATGTATTATGTATTAAATTAAAAAAAAATCTGAATAATAATAAATTTAATAATTCAAGTTTTAGAGTACTACCAATGGGTACTTTCTCAACAAGCGTTTTCATGTGATTATATTATTCCTGTGCACACATTTATTAGATGTATTTATAATTTAATACGGTTGTAAATATCATTAATAAATAAATTTTAAAAGATTCAAGTTAACATTATTGGGAGAAAATATTGAAGATTAGAAAGAACTGAACGAAATTTGGCTAAATAAATATTTAAATATATAGATTTATAATATTTACAAAATATAAAACTGAAGGTTTAAGCAAAAATATTATTTTGTTTTTAAAAATTGACAATCTCCGTTGAAAAAATATCCTTAGTTTAAAATTCTAATCCTGTTGTGTTTTATGATATTTTTACCAGATTATTCCCTGAAAATTATTATTAAAAAAAAATTACATAGGTTTGAATTATGTTTTCATTTTTAATATTCTTTTGTTTATTTCATTTTATTATTTATTCTTTCAAATTTATAACATTTACAAGTTAATTGGATTGAAGACAAAGGGGACTAGGAAGCAGATGGTGGAAGGTTTTTCATTTTCCAATAATTTAAGAACCCGAACAGTTATAAGATTTGAGAACCTATTTCAAAATGTCAAAATCTGCTGAGCGCAACTCACAACTTTCACTTACCGCTCAACTTTGAATAGAAATTATTTTCTGGCCGTGTTGGGCTATTATAAATTTTTTTACAACAGTTTTAACCGAGTTAAAGCTAAAAGCTTATGGCTAACAAATTATAATTACCATTAAAATAACAAAAGTCCTATTTATTATACCATCGGTTGATTATGGGTTGTACGATCCATTGATTATGGGTTGTACGATCCATTGATTATGGATTGCACGACTATTAGTTATTAAACAGTTATTTTCCTTTGGATAGCTTGCTAAAATTGAATTAAGAGATTTACATTGTCTGTCATAGAGAGGTTAAAAGTTATCACACTAATTGGAAGTGGATACTGTTGGAGTATCACAAAGGGAAAATTCATCAAATTATTCACTAATTTAATTTTCTAAAAAGTTACATGATGATTTTTCGGAATAAATGGACGACAGATACCTAATTATCTAAATATAATATCAGATCTAGAGTAATTCGAGAACCATAACAAAATACAGTGAATATATTTAAGGTTATAAACATATCCATGAAATATTTTTATACTTCACTTCTTCTTTTACACAAGTACAGTGAGATAGCGTCATTGCCTTGAATCGTTGGATTTTAAATACTTTTTCAAACTAAAAAAAAATGTTAAAAGTTTACATTTAGTAAGAAAATTGTATTTAATTTCTTTGAAAACTCGTGATTTACTTTAAATAATTATAGCTTTAGAAATTGTTATTTATATTTTTTTAGCCATTCCCCATTACCTTCTACAATTTTCTATATTAGATATTGTTTTTTTTCAATTCTCCGCTTTCCAATGATATATTACGCATATGCCTTCTGGCTATTATTTCCGGCCTAGATACGTATCTTTCTTTTTTTCTCTTATATTCATTTATCAAATTCTTTCAAAAGTTATATTTAGCATATTTTCATAACTCCTAACAATGAGAAATAGTTATTATTTATAATAAACCAAATTAAAGGTACTTTAGAGGAAGACCCGATAATTTTGTGATTTCACAAAGGGGAAATTCATCAAATTATTCACTAATTTAATTTTTTTAAAGTTACATGACCATTTTTTGAAATAAACGGACGTTGATAACTAATTATTTAAATATAATATCAGATCTATAATTATTAAACTCCAGTAAAAGGTTATAAACATATGCTTTATACATCCATGAAATGATTTTATATTTTACTTCTTCTTTCACACAAGTACAATGAGATGGTTTTTTAAACAATGTCATTGCTTTGATTAGATGGATTTTAAATAATTTTTCAAACTTAAAAATAATTTTAAAAGTTTACATTTAGTTAGTAAATTTCACTTAATTTCTTTGAAAACAACAACTTTTGATTTATATTAAATAATATTAGATTTCAAAAATTATTATTTATAATTTTTCGCCACTCTCCGTTACCATCAACAACTTTCTGTATTAGATATTGTTTTTGCTAAAATTCTCCGCTTTCTAATTAAACGAATACCTTCTGACTTGTATTTCCGGAGATTCATTTTCAACCTGGATAAGCATTTTTATTTTTTTCTTCTTTATTCAATTATCAAATTCTTTCAAAAGTTATATTTAGCAATTTTTCATAACTCTAAATAATGTGAGATGATCAATCATTTAAAATAAACCATATTAAAGGTACTTTAGAGAAAGACGTATATGAACATTGGGCAATTAAGCCCTGCAAAGTGACATCAATAGGGATAACACCTAATTTATATTAAAGAACATTTAATTATACAATGATATACCGAGTTTAATCAAAATTGTTATGGCTGTTTTTTAGAAAATTGTAAAAATGTGTTTCAGCATTGATATAAAGTGGCATTTCTGGTTAGCCGATTTTTTAACGAAAATGTTCTGTCACATCTAAAGCATATACCTATCTTAAATACATAATATCAATTTCGTATGACTTTTCGTTTTTGAGCTAGACCATTTTGCGGGACTTGGTTATTTGGACTCAGAAGAGCTCAAAACATGTATTTCCGTTGAAATCTCAGATTCGAAAATTTTCACGATTGCAATACTTACCCTTACTATATATTTCATATAGGTAACTGAAAGTAAAAATTAAGACAAAACATTTACTTAAAGAGTTAATAAAATTTAAAACAAATACTAAATGTTTTTTTGAATTCGATACACATTAAAATACTGTGAAAAAATTATTGGGAAATTTAAAATTTTATTATTATAAAATAAGGCTGTTTTATTTCTTTTTTAATAATTTGTGAGCGACCAATGAGGTATGGGGCCTAGCGTTGTCTTGGAGGAACACGAAACACTTCAGATTTGCCAGTTCTGGACATTTATTTTTAATTGATTGATCCAATTTTGTTAATTGTGAGCAGTATAGAGTTAAATCAATTGTTTGTCCTGATGAAAATAGCTCATAGAAAATAAAACCCTTGAAATCTTTGACATTCTTCTAGGAGCCTCACTACTAGGTCTCAAAGATTGACTATAGACTACGTAAATATCCATTTTTCATCTCCTGTTCATAACCTTTTCGAAAGTAGGTCGTTTCCATAGTGAATTACAAACAGAAATGCGTGTTGCCAAATTGACTTTGGTTAGAGAGTGAGGGACCCAAACATCAAGCCTGGAAACATAGCCGAGCATGTACAAATGGTTTTCTACGCTTGTGTGCGACACGGTTAAGGCCATAACAATCTCTCACACTGATTGGGTGGGGTTTTGATCAACAGTGGCCTTAACATTGCTCCTTTCAATTTCATGTGGGCGACCAGACCGTTGAGCATCATTGATGTCAAAATTTCCTAAATGAAATTTGGGGCCCTAGTTATGATTTTCTTGAATTTTGCAAAATTACTGTGAATTTCTGGCTTAAAGACAACCTGATCAATAAAAAAATTAATTATTTTTCAATTAGCAATAATAACACTCATTATACGACTCATGCATAAATGATAACTTTATTCATTTTTTCCAAGAATAAGGAAAGATAAAATATGTTAGAGTGCAAATAATTGGAAGAAGCCATTTGTTTCTCATTGTGAAATATAGGAGAAAAGTAAAGTACGTTTATTAGAAAAATGTCAAGTAATACACCATAGTTTATTTTAAGTGGTTTCAATAATTAGGACAAATATTATAAAATATAAATAACTTACATGCAACCAATGCCCACTCCGCATCTTTGGGTTCTAATGTTATGGCACATATTTTTTTTTTAATATCATCATACCAAGGCAACCACCGTACAACAGGGTGATGCTGATTTAAATGTGAACCATGCAGTACAATATCTCCATTCCTGAAAAATAAACATTAAAACAAATGTTTATGTTTTAAATTAAACTTATAAAACATTACATATAAAATTAAAAAAAAAAAAAATGGAGAGAAACATGTTTATAACTTAAAGCATGAAACGCTAACAGTAATGCAGTATAAAGGGATAACTTATGCAATGAGCATGAACCAATGATTATAGATATTTTGAATTCAAACATTAAAACAGGACAAAAATGAAAAAAAATAATAGTTGCACATTAGTAAAAGTATTAGTCTTTTGGATCATATGATTTAAATTTGCTGACAATAGGAAAAATGGCTCTAGTCTCCTCTGTGAGTGCAGTAAAGGTGTACAGAATGTGGAACATATCCTACAAACGTGCATGGTCTACTCCCAGCAAAGGAAGGTGATCTGGTCATCTTCGACTGGATTGGAAAGGATTCTCAAATTTTAACTATACCCCTGTCAACGACGGGTACATCAGCTAGTCTATAATATACTTCACTAATTGCATATGGCTATTTTTCACTAGCATTCCGAAGGCTTAATTTTGTACTAGTGTGAAATTATATTACAAAATAATATTAATATTAAGGACATAAAATGATAAATTACAGTATAAGACAAGTAAAAAAGTTAACAATAAAAAATAAAATGAACTGTTTACAGATGTTGAAAAACTTTTGTTATTGGCTATATTTGTAATAAACAACCAACTACCTACTCATATTTATCATTATGGAAGTATATATATTTAATAACACTATTGGTAACACAATAATTAGATTTAATAGCATAAGAAGTCAGAAAAGAGAGACAGAGAAGTTTAATTAAATAATGGTTCCTTAAACTTTATCTATAAATGTACTATATATTTGTTTTGTCTAATTATTTATACTACGTGAATAAATAATTATAAATGTGACAACCTCCACATCAGTACTTGCATGTTCAAAATTTTGGTTAGTAAATATTATTAATAAAATTCCAATAAAGCATCAGCTCTTAAGGCTAAAGCTCAATAACTATTCAAGTATACACAATAAAGCATAGATTGACAAATTGAAACAAGTATCCACAGTTAGAAATATAACATCCACTATAAACTAAATGATGCCTAGGACTCCAATTATGTACAACTTTAAATTTAACCACTTAAAGAAAATGTCACAATTAAACTTTTGGAAAACATTATAAATGTATTACCTGATTACGAAAACAATTATTTCCAGATTTTCACATTGTGTACTGGTTGCGAATAATAAATCTTTAACAGTAACTAAGCAAGTTAAATCAAAATAATTGTCAAGTAACTTCATCATAATATATTGTTTGTTGAAAACTAAACCTGTAACATTATAACCAACCCGAATATTAAATCGAGTGTGGAGCCCAAAGAGAAAAGCGTTTCGCAAATTAATTTTACTTAAGATGAAAATGACATTTCGGAGAAGAAAATCTCATTTCTTTTTTTCTTTTTATGCGATGTTCATTTATGATTGTTGTTAAAATTAAATTATTTACTATTCAAATTTATGTTTTTTTTACATGTGCAATCTCTAAATTTAACTTTATACTATTGTATTTTGTCATTCATTTTTCATAGATTTTTATATCATGTACTATTTTATTTTTTCATATCTCCTTATGATCTTGTGGAAATAACTGTTTCTGGAAGATAACAATACAGCTGTCCTTGGAAACTATCGAGAGGACATACAGTGGCCAGCAAAAGTGTTTATACACACTGATAGGAATAAAAAAAAAATCAACATTTTTCAGTGTATGCGTCGGGTAGGCGACATGAACAAAGCAGCCATACATGCTTATTATCTGACTTCATATCTTGAAATGGAGAAAATAGTGTGCAGAAATAAGCTACTAGCTCACAGGAAAGAAAAATTTCTTCTAGTAACCTCTCAACGAATAGCATATCGAGTTAGGTGCATTCTGGCACCAAAGTTCTTATCCGATGCAGAACTAAATAATATCAAAGAAGAAATCATAAGAAGCCAAAACCAGGAGTCTACGCATATAAATACCACAGTGTATAACACTACCGAAATTCAACCGAATGAGATTGAGGAAGAGCAAAATAATACTACCCCGGATGACCATAATCAAATTCATAATCTGCAATTGGCTAAAAACTCTAAATTTGAAGATTTGTCACTGGAATGTAAACCGACACTTCCAAGAGTTACGTATTGTGTGAAGGCAAGTCAGCTATTGACTGATTCCGGCAAACGATATTTTCTTAAAGATGGATCACAAATTACTCAGGCTTTTTATGTAGGTGTAAAATTATATGCCAGAAATGAGAAAGACCTGAGAAATTTATTAAAACCAGTGGGAGGATTCAGAAGGGATTTAATTATGACCCTTGGGTTTAAAAAATGTGCAGCGATTAATACACACAAGGGCAAGCTGAAAACATTGAACTCTCACTAAGAGAAAGAATAAAGCAGCTCAAGGAATCAGACTCCTATAAACATCTTGTGAATAGTTTATAAAATCTATAAAGTTTCATCTATAATGTTTCCCTTCAGAACTCAGTTCTTCCTACCGCTTGGAAATAAAGCATTAGTCAGCGCAATTTATAAATATCCATTCATCCCTTTTAGCTATTAGTTGCGTTCGCCAATATTCAGGCAGACTGAGATAGAATCAGTGCCTAGGCATTTTGAATAACTTAAGACTAAACGCGATGAAAACTCAGGCCATTGTTATAGGTCCCAGTTTTCTCCTTTAATCCTACTCCTTCCTTCCTCTTTTAGTCATCAACGAACATCCTATCACTTTCAGCTTCTCCATTAAAAACCTAGGAATTGACATTGATGAAAATCTCTCCTGGAAACCACATATAGCCCTCCTCTCCCGAAGGTCAATAGGTACCCATTAAGTTATTTCATATCTACTTCCACAACCTATCCGCAAGCTCCTTGTATCCTCTCTTATTTTCCCCCACTTTAAGTACGGCTGTGTGGTGTATGGTGACATCCTGATGGTACTCGAAGACAGATTGAAGCGACTTCTGAAATCCTTTTTAAGATTTGTCTTTGGTACTTCGAGGCGGTCTCATGTGTCCCACATTTACCATGAGTTAAAGTGGCTCTTTTCTTCTTTCCGCCGACAATATTACATTGGATCTTACCAATTCCAAATGACCAATTCCCGACAACCTTCATACATCAGCAGTGTCCTACAGTTCAAATTCGTAGTCCACTCCCATAGAACAAGATATCGTGCTTCCGACCTCTATACCACTTCCCATAAAACTAAAACATTTGAACACTCCTTTATTGCCCGATCCACTGCCTTTTGAAATTCCTTGCCATCTGATATCCGCCATGCCTCCTCCTATTCCTTATTCAAATACCATCTCTACTCGTCCCCACGCACCCGACTTAAAAGCCAAGAGCTCAGCCGACGATTTGGCCAGCTATATAGACTACTAAACAAAACATCTCATATCTCGACATAAAACTAACTATTAATTAACAGGACCATGAACTTTTACTGATTAATTGCACTGAATCCTACCTGGACCTACGGACTTGAACTGTGGGGGGACGGCGGAATACTGGAATATCAAAGTTATCCAATCCATCCAGTTCGAAGTCTTTCGAACAATAGTCAATGCTCTATTATGTCACAAATACTCTATATTATGTCACAAACAAGACCCTACGCTATGACCTTAACATCCCGTTTGTCCTTGACATCATCTCATCCAGATTCTCAAATTTTTACTAGAGCCTTGTTTATCATCCTAATCCTCTAGAGCAATCCCTATCTAGCTCCGATCATCCATACCATCCTTCTCGAGAGTTAAAACAGCAGTGGTCTCAAGATCTCTTGTAAATTGGTCTAGTGCTCTTTTTCAGTCTCCAATACCAGGGAAGCGCTCTACTTTGCCTTCCACGTATGGAGGACAAATGTATGTATGGCTCGGAGTTTTCTGGGGAAATGTAAATATTTTACCTAGGTATTAATGTGTTAAAGAAGACGTATTTTATTTTTCTAATGTATTTACTTTTTATTTATAGTTATTTCTCTGTTCTTGCATATATATTGTATGAATGAATATTTTTGCCCTCATACTTACTGCCCTCCAAGTAACAGATTGTATTATTATCTATTAAATAAAAAATAAAAATTATATCTATCTAGCAACTAAAGAAATATCTTGAATATTTCGGAATGTTAGAACTATATTGAAACATTTTTTAACACTTCTCCAATCCAATGCTCCAGAAGAGAGATCGTTTTCTGTTTTAAAGCATCTAAACAAATATTTAAGGAACATTATGGAAGAGGGAAGATTATATGGTATGGATATTCTGTATGTAGAACAAGAGTTGTTTTTGAACCGTATGTAGTTGACATTATTAAAATGATTGATGAATTAATAAAAAAAAAGTCTGCTAAGTAAGGTCAGAGCGGGTTACTCATCAATTATATTGGTTAGAACATTACTTATATTTCAAAATCTATGATTAGTCGTCGTTTGGAAGAAAATTAGTGTTTTGAAGATGGTTAATATAGAAAATACGTTACCTCCTAATTTTCTTCAAGAGGAAATATTTACAAAGCGTTTTTACTATAATTTATTTGATTTCTATTAAATAACCATCGTTTTGCCCATTTTCAAGCCAAGCCGTATTTCTCCTGGTCATCGATTACCGTACAAATCAAATAAATGAAACCCTTCATTTTCGTCATGTACTACTGTTATTATCTTTTATATGAATACTTATTTTATCTTCATTTGTGACCTATGATGGTTTGTCTTCTGACCTATATCTTCAAAATACCAATGTCCACTGAATACTTTATCTCCGGATTTTAAATAAAGTATGTCTAAATACAGGAGAAGGCAGTGGATCAGCTGATTGGATGGTTGTGCTCTCAACTGGTCTCTCAGTATTTGCCTATTTTTAAGTGGAATCTCTCTGATTTTTTCATTGAATACATTTCACGTGTACACCAGAGCAGTTTATATTGCTGTTTGATACATTTTTTTTTATTATAATTTTTTTTTTTTTTTAAACCTTTCTTTCTTTCTTCTCTTATGGTATGCGGTATACTCACCAAGTGATGTCCAGTAAGGTGCCCAAGAGGATTCGGTCAGACGGAGTTAAATCACCAGCCAAACAAAGAACTCGTCGCTGCCTACGAGAAACATCTCCAACAACAAAAGTGAACACTTCAGATCCAGAACCTCCAGGACCACAACCAGTAACTTCTTCTCAAGAAATGATCGAAGAATCGCCTTTCTTTACTCCGAACCCCTACCAAGTGCTTCAAAATGACCGAGAGGTAATGGAGTCTGCAGCAATACCCACAGAACCAAGGCCTCCTTCGATATTTGTGAAAAATGTAAAAAATTTCCAGTTGTTGTGCGCCCAACTAAATAAAATCTGTTCTGGCAGTTATAGATGTCTTACCAGGATCAACGATACAAAAATAACACCAGATACTGCCGAAACCTACCGAATAATAGTGAAGTACCTCTCAGAAACGAATGCGAATTTTCATACGTACCAGCTTAGGCAGGAGAGATCGTTACGAGTAGTAATAAGAAATTTACACTCCTCGACCCCAACTGAAGTGATAAAAGAAGAACTAGCGGCGCTTGGTTTCAAAGTATGTCAGGTAACCAACATTCTGAAGGAGAATAAGGAGCAGCCTGGAGTAAAAAACAAAGTTGCACTACCTTTATTTTTCGTGGATCTGGAACCATCACCCGATATTGAGAAAATATACGATATCACAAGATTATATTACACAATGGTGAAAGTAGAGAAACCACCCAAGAGAGAAATCGTGCAGTGCCATAATTGTCAGGCGTATGGCCACACGAAGACATATTGTCACCATCTGCCGCGTTGCGTGAAATGCGGTGAACAGCACAAATCAGTGGAGTGCGTGCACAAAACCGATACAAGATCCTGCAGTGTGCGCACTATGCCTGGAGGGACACCCGGCCAACTAGAAAGGATGACAAATTTACAAGCATCTCAAATCCAGACACCAGAAAAACCGGATTCAAGATGAAGCAGGAAGACCAAGAAGAGAGAGAGAGCCTTCTAGAATAGTAAACAATAGTGTATCATTTTCCCAGCTACATAGAGGTAAGAGCTCAACCGATAACTGTCAAGCCCTGCTGCAACAACAACCTCAACCCCAACCTCAAAATCCTATAGATCCCAATTAACCTAACCATCAACAACAAATTCATCATATCCCTCCTCCTTCAAATGCAACATATCTCACCAGTTTGCTGGCATCATTCCTTACCGATTTTAAATCCTTAGTT